CGAAATAAGAACACTTTCTTATAGTCAGAAGAAATAGGGAGATTTTGTGAAATAAAAAACTTTTGAATTTGAAGCTGTATGAAACAACGAAGCTGGAGACTCCTTGCTATTACCAGTCGAGATCAACTCTCTTCCTGGAGTTTGGTTTCAATGTCTACACTGAATCCAAATGTGGATATCCATTCTACTGGTAAAAGTTGTAAGGGTTATTAGAACAATCATCAATTTTTGAAAAATGGCTCAGTGAAAATGTTTGGAACAAACATAAGAAATTAAAAAAAAAGTTTAGCAACATGGATCCAAGACGGATGGAATTGAAAAAACATTTAACCGAAATAATAGCTCTGTTGTATGAACAGCCGGCAGAGTTAGAGAAGATATGACAGAAACATGTTTTTAAAAAAAATTACATTGTAGATACATTCATGACGGCGAGAAGGTGTAAAACATCCAACCAGTGAAATAACTCTAGATAAGAACAGAAGGCGGAGTTTAAAAAGAAACCTGAGAATCTAGTAGGATCATTTAGACTCCCACGAGCTCTCCATCACGGCGGACATTATGGACCTCACAGAATGGGAGCAACCAGACTTGAACAGTGGCGGTGGAGCGGCCAGACTGCATATCAGAGAGGAAGACGGAGACATTAATCATACTTGAGAGAAGTTGTTTACTGCTTTGTATTAAATGAAAGAGAGAATGATAATCGAGGTCGGAGAGCTCACCTATTTATATGAACACAACCACCGCCTTTCGAATTCACAGCCCGCATTGAATACAGTCGTGGGTAAAAGTTTAATGGATGGCTTTAATTACATGGGTTTTTTTGGGAACTGGTATCCTTTGGTGAGGAGATGAAGAAGACGAAAGATCTCCAGGGAAACCCGTAATCGCCAAGAGCTATGGGGAGGCGAAGAAGAAAACTGTTGTAACCCTTGAAGAAAACGCAGCGCTTCATCTCAGCGGATTTGTCAAACGGGCTAGAGGGATGAAAACATACAAAGGCCTGGTTATATTGAAGCCCAAACGGATTAGACATAACACGTTACAAAACGCTGCGTACTTGACGACCATGCCACGTGGCAAGCCCATAAACTCTGAATTAATGACGTGGCATGATGAGAATGAGGGAAACTTTAGTTTATATATATAGATACTAAAACTGAGTTAATAATTAGATTAATTCATAATCCTAATTATAAATTTAGTTAATTATTTAAGCAAAAATGTGAAGATATTTCTATAAGATTTTTTCAGTAAAAATAAAATATTTTTTTTTTAAATATTCAGTGATAGTGTGTTTTACTAATATAGTCCAATATGTTAATAATGACAAAATATCCTTAGTGAGATCTCTTGATGTAGGGTTAATCACACTTATAGTAGTAATAAATCTCTTACTAACGCTTAAAACCGTAATTTCTCGCATCCACAAACGCCCGCAATAGCTGCGTTGTAACCAGGCAGACCCTAATTGTAGACATAAGTTGTGTACAAGTAAAAGTAAGTGAAAGAAGAAGTAAAAGTTTTTTTTTTTTTATCAAAGAAGTAAAAGTTATCTTTGCACATAATTTTTAAGGATCTGTGTAGAACTTTTACTGCTACTTGTCTATTTCTCATTGGTTTTGTTTTTCTTTGTATAATTAAAATTTAATAAGAAAACTACACTAAAATAATAATCATCTATGAAGCTAATACTCAAATTCAGATAATAAGCGATGGTGATGCTCAAAACATCATAAGAAACCACTACAAGAAAACACGTCATTTACTAGGACGGGTTTTCCTCGTTAATTCCTAGTAAATGGCCCTTTACTAGGAAATAACGAGGAAACGTGTTTCGTCGAAAGCCGTTCATCGTAAAGCCCATTTTCCTCGTAAAGGCCTAGCTAATTTACGAGGGAAGGTTTCCTCGTAAACCCGTGGAAAACATTTCCTCGTAAGCTCCACGTATACTTTCCTCGTAAGGGCATAGTAAACCATTTCCTCGTAAACTCGTAGTAGAAACTTTACGAGGAGTTTGCTAGGAAAATTTACGAGGAATTTACTTCGAAACCGTTACGAGGATTTTACTTCAAAACAATTTTTTCCTATTAAAAAAAAATATTTATAAATTAAAATTATATATATTAAAAAAATTTAAAAAAATAAATAAAAAAAAATTTATAAATAACTAATAATATACAATAATAAGTTTTAAAATTCATAATATACAATTAAAAACTAATAAAAAACTAAAAAGGATGCTGGTCTTGAAATTGGTTCACGAAGTCGTCTCCAGGGTCGTTGGATGCCGGCTGTGACTGAGATGGTGGAGGCTCTTGGGATGGAAGGGCTCCGCTTTCCCGTCTCTGACGCAA